GACCATGCCGGGCCATTTTTGCTTTACTTAAAACCTCAAATTTAACAAAATGTGCTCTTAAGAAAACAAGCCAAGCCCCCAGGTATCCCATACGTGTACTGAACCCAGCTCTTCAGTCTACAGTAAACAAAGTTTGTTGCTACAGACACAATTTGATAAAGTACCAGAAACATGAAACAAAAAGACATAAAGGGGACCTGCTTGCAGATTCACAGTGACTTCTCCCAAGATTTTAAAGCCAGTGCGGTGATGTCAGTTGTGGGCCAATCAGTCAGAGCAGGAGCAGCCATAACAGCAGGAACCAGGACTGGGGCTTCTACATGCTGATACACACAAAGAACCAGGACAAAATAGTCACACACAAGGGAAAAGGAACACAACAGCAGTGAAGTGTCAACTTTTGTCAAATAATTAACCAGAATATTTCAGCTTTTTTTCCCCAATATGTAATTTTAGTTGTGTCATACTGCACAGAAGACATCTCTGAGTTCTCTCTATCTTGTTTCCATCACGGTGCAGGACTTTATATTGCAGTGAAAAATGAGCTCACAGTGAGGAAAGACTTGACAGGAGCGAAAAACTGCAGCGAAACTAAGTGTTCAGATGATTGAAATGACTACTTAATGCCTAAATAATGTAAATTTTAAGTGACAATCTATATATAAAAGCTTGGGTGACTACACTGAGTGCTTGACTTTATCCATCTCTACATCACAGGGATGAAGCCGATGAGTTTGTGGAAATCGGAGCTCTGAATGGCATCTTTGTGTTGGGACGCAGCATGGGATTCATCGGTGAGTTGTTCTTGTGTACAGGTTCGAGATAGGTATCATTTGTATTTCAATGATTATGATTCTGCTTAGGGCTGCAAGGTGGGCGGTGGTTAGCACCGTTGCCTCGCAGCTAGAAGGTCGCCGGTTCACATCCCAGTGAGGACACCCGGGATCTTTCTGCGTGGAGTTTGCATGTTCTCCCCGTGCAGCGTGGGTTCTCTCTGGGTTCTCCGCCTTCCTACCTTGTATGTGAATCAAGCCTCTCTTTCTGTGTCTCCTCAGGACACTACCTGGACCAGAAGAGGCTGAAGCAGGGCCTGTACCGCCACCCCTGGGACGACATCTCCTATGTGCTGCCCGAACACATGTCGATGTAATCGGAGGGACTGAACCATGTCGTGCCAGCTCTCTCCGCCCCCCTCACTGTGATCTGTCACCTCAACGCTGTGGCATAAAAATAGGGAAGATGTTACAATTAATATAGCTGTAAATGGCAAATACTGAAAAGATGTTTTTTCTTGTAGTTTTGGGAAGCTGTCAGCGCTGCAGTTCTGTGAATTATAGTCAAACCTGCTCAACTGTGAAGCTCCAGTCGGTCTTAAAATGTGCTGAAGCGATGAAGGTGTTAGAAGACCATCAGCACCACTCCTGACCAGTGAAGTGCAGTTATTTACCCCAGAGTAGTGCTGTATTCTAATAACCAAGCATGCGTGTCTGTATCGCAGACTGTTGTGTCTCTGTGCAGCCTTCGTCATTGTGCCATTTGGAAGTCTTGCTACAAGAGGTGAACACGTAGTGCAATAACGCCTATAATATGATGACATACTGTAGAGCAGAGCTTTATTTCTGTATTCATAGAGAGCATTAAATGGTACGAGAGTGTTATCGCTTTGATTTTGTGTAACCGTTGTGTGCTTACTGTGACGAATGGGACTCCTGGCAGGTTTGTGATGTGCTGTCCTCTCAGCTGTGGAGTATTTTCTGAAAGATGAAATAAAAGTCAAACAGTGTCCATCACATGAAGAAATTATGTCATTTCAATGTTTTTTTTTCTTTCTTCCACCTGTTATTTAAAGAAATGAGCCATCAGATTTATATTCCATTAAAATGTGCCAAATTGTTAAATCAATTAGTTGGATTGCAAATGTAATTTCATGCCAAGCGTTAAAGATGTCGCTTCATTTCTTACTTTAACTCACAAATCTCTGTCTTTGGTATAAAAGCACTTCTGATCTGGTTATAATCGTGCGGCTCTCACTGCAGGACAGAACGCTTTCTTTCTTGATGATCTTGAAGTACTGTATGTGGCAGACATCACCAGTGTCATCTTGTGTGTGTGAACGTTACAAAAATGTGTAATTAATCTCACCAGTGCTGCCAACGTCTCTGTTTTTTGTTTTGTTTTGTTTTTAACTATTTCACTGTGAACTGATTTGTTGTGTGTTGCCAACTGTATAATTGAGTAAAATAAAATTAATGTAGTCGAGTAACGCTGTGTTTCATTGTGGTTTGTCATTAACATTATTGTTACCATTTCCATCCATCCATCCATTATCTATACACCGCTTAATCCTCACTA